TTGATCGATAACGACTGTTCAACCTTCATCTCCTTCCTAGACAATGATAAAAGGATCTATTGTTCCTTTTCGGGGAAGTTTTATCGAACTTTTTTCGTAATGAAATGACAATGTTCAAAATGCCATTTTTATACTAAAAATGATTGAAATTTGTATTACTTCTTCTAATTAACAATCTTATGTTGCGGTAAGAGATAAGATAATCATTTATTGTCCAGAACTGTGTACAAATGTTTGTTAAAATTAGATAGTGCCAACAGTTTGCCCATTTCAGGCGTACAATATTACATTAAAATAATAGTAATTAAATGTCAGCAACATAAAATTATAATAAATTTTTTCTCTCTCAAATATATTAGTACAATCATAAATTACATTTCATAACAATTACTCATACCAGTTGTGTCAAAATTAAACATAGAATTGCAATTTTATTGTCAACTAGCGGCCCGCCCTCGCTTCGCTTCGGTGTAGAGCTGAAGTGTAGACTACAGTTTTTGTTCTCAGGCTTGTATTATACACAATGACATTCATGTATGATTCTTCTTATACCTGCATGCAAAGTCTCAGCCCGATCGGTTTAAAATTGACAAAGTTTCATACAAACTTTCATTCCCTATTTTATCCCCTTGGGGGTAGAATTGATCAAAATCCTTTCTTAGCGGATGCCTACGTCATAACATCTACTGCATGCCAAATTTCAGCCCGATCCGTCCAGTGGTTTGGGCTGTGCGTTGATAGATCACTATGTCAGTCAGTCACCTTTGAGTTTTATATATATAGATGATCATTAAAATATTCTTCCAAACTATAGAAACAGTTCGATAATAACCAGTGCCTAAGCTGTGTCTTGAATGGTTTATTTTCTAAAGCTTTAATGGAATTAGGTAAATGATTAAAGATCTTGATTCCAGTTTTATGGTAGTTAAGGTATGGTGTCCTTTTAAGTTTTAAATCTTTAGATTGTAACACTACCTTTTGATGGTATTGTGTTTTCTCAGTTAACTATGAAGACACGGAATTAATTTTAAAAAGAATAACATAATGGTCGTACTGGAGGTTGAATATATATACAACTGTACACACATTCACGCACTTATTCTCCATCTCACACAGACACACACACACATACACACACACACACACACATTCATACACACACACACTTATACAAATACACCTGATACTTTAAGAAATTAGTTTTTATGTGCCCAAAATTTGTTAACTGCACTAGGCATCCCAACACAAGTATTAATTATTACTTTCTGGGTTGTCTCAACTTGTACTGTAATCTGACTCTTTGGGAAATAAAAACTATTTTCAATATTTTTTTTTATCGCAAGCGTCTATAAGTTATGGTAGCCACTTACCATGCAGGCACTGCAGGCCACGCGTATGTTTGCCACCTTTTTAATTTAACTAATTTAAATACACCGTGTTCCTGAGGTTATACACTAACTTTGGCATGTTATTCAGACTATTAAATTTATCATTTTTTACTATGGACACTTTTATGAATTCCAATTTCTTTAACATTTTTTATTTTCATACAAACTATAATATGCTTAGATGTAATTTATCTTATATGAATTACTCTTTACCTGAGCTGGCAACGTCGCATTTGAAACTTTGGTTCACATGTCCACAACTTTTCTAAACTTTTCTTGACGTCAACAATTTTTTTTTTTAAATTTTGACTTTAGAAACTATGACTTAATGCAATGGTCATAAATACAAAGAGTTGATAGTTTGATAGTTTTGGTTGCACAAAATGGCAACATCTCACAGATAAAGACTCTTTCTCACTGCACAATACAATGAAGTTGGTTAAACTTAAATTTCCAATAACTTAAAAACTATGCTATTTAAACTACTACTTTCTTTGTACGATATGTTTAACAATAGCTATAGAAGAATTATTCAAAGTTAATGTATATCCTCAGGAACACGGTGTATATATATTGTTGCGACATCTTGGCGTTGCGCTCTTGGAGTGGTGGACTGTATTTTCTGGTTGCTAGTAGGAAAACCACCGGTTGCAAAGATACGAAATTTTATTATTAATTTTACACAGCAAATTTAATCGCCTAAAAAACAAGAGATGCAAAGTGAGAAAGGGGAAACGGAAACGACATAACTTTTTAAATTATAAATATTTATGTGGCCAGCAACACTTGGTATAAACCACATTATTTTAAATATTATTTTATACTAGAGGCCCGCCCTCGCTTCGCTTCGGTGTAGAGCTGTAGTGTAAACTATAGCTTTTGTTCTCAGGCTTGTGCTATAAACAATGACTTTATTTATATAATTACACGTGTTATTGTGAGTCAACCATAAAAGATAGACATATGCTGTTGCGGGATATTTTTTAGACAATTTTATGTAGAATATTTCCGTCATACATGATTTCTATGTAACTTTAACCATTAAGGCTGCACCCGCGACGGAAGCTTAAAAAATGGAGTAACTTCTCCCGTTTTCCCAACATTTCCCTTCACTACTCTGCTGCTATTGATTGTAGCGTGATGAAAAGTATACTATAACCTGCCCAGGAGTAGAATAATTGTAACAAGTTTCGTTAAAATCCGTTGAGTAGTTTTTGTTTCTATAAGGAACATACACACAGACAGACAGACAGACAGACAAAAATTTTACTGATTGCATTTTTGGCATCAGTATCGATCACTAATCACCCCCTGATAGTTATTTTGAAAATATATTTCATGTACAGAATTGACCTCTCTACAGATTTATTATAAGTATAGATTAATACTGCTCATGTACCTGCAAAGAATAAATCGTACGCACACAAATCACATTAAATCAGGCTACCACACAAATTCTTCTACTTGATTGGTTTTGCTCTATAGTATAAATAAATATAAATATTTTCAACACTCACACCAATTAGCCTAGCCCCAAAGTAAGCACTGTAAGGCTTGTGTTATGGGATACTAGGGTAACGGATAGATTCGCTCTTGCCGCGAATGGATGTCGTCTGCTTCGCGGACGACACCCTTGTCGCGGCGAGAGCGAAGGAGTGGGAGGAGGTGCTCCACCTTGCGTCGGTCGGCACCTCTATGGTCGTCCGACGCATCCGCCTCCTGGGGCTGGAGGTGGCCCTCGATAAAACGAGGGCCATGGCGTTCCATGCCCCAAGACGCAGGACCCCACCGGGGCTCCGTGTCCGGGTTGAGGGGATCCAGGTTCATGTCGAGATGCACATGAAGTATCTCGGCCTGACCCTGGATCCCCGGTGGAGGTTCGAGGAGCATTTTAGGCTCCTCGCTCCCCGGCTGTGCGCCGCCGCAGCCGGACTCGGACGGCTCCTCCCCAATGTGGGAGGGCCGAGGGCGTCGTGCCGTCGACTTTATAATGGAGTGATAAGGTCGATGGCACTGTACGGAGCCCCGGTGTGGGCGGAGTGCCTTACGTCCCGCACGAAGGCCCTCTTGCGGAGGCCACAGAGGGTCATCGCGGCCCGGGCCGTGCGGGCTTACCGCACGGTCAGCCACGGGGCTGCCTGCGTCCTCGCAGGTACGCTCCCGTGGGAGATCGATGCCCTGGTTCTGTCCCAGGTGCATCGACACAGGGCCGCGGCGAGAGAGCGGGGCGAGCGGCCCGTTCGGGAGGAGATCGAACGGGTCCGCACCCAGGCGCAGAGGGAGGCTCTGCGCCGATGGGGTGAGGCACTCGCCAACCCAGCCGCTGGCCACCGGACGATCGAGGCGATCCGTCCGGTGTTGGAGGAGTGGGTAGGGCGCCAGCGGGGCAGCCTCACCTACCGCCTGGTGCAGGTACTGACCGGACATGGGTGCTTTGGCCACTACCTGCACCGTGTCGCCCGTCGGGAGGAGCTGCCGCGGTGTCATCACTGCGCCTCCCCCGACGACACGGCCGAGCACACACTGATCGTGTGCCCGGCCTGGCGAAACGAGCGCCGCACGTTGGTGGCGGCGCTCGGCGGTGGAGCGCTCTCATTGCCAAGTATGGTTCGAGCCATGCTTGGCAATGAGAGAGCATGGAAGGCTGCCGCCTCCTTCTGCGAGGTTGTGATGGGGCAGAAGGAGGCAGCGGAGAGGGAGCGGGAGGAGGACGCTCTGGCCGCTCCCCTCCGGCGTAGACGGGTGGGCCGAAGAAGACAGGCGGCTTTGACCGCCGGTCTTCGTCGACCCTAAGGTGGACTGGGCGCGGCATGCCAGCCGCGCGTCCTTGGTGCCATTCGGCATAGGCCACCCCGTCTGGGGATTACCTAGTACCCTAGAGTAATCCCCCCATAGGCGCGTCGCCCGGTCCACTCGTTGGGCCGGGCCAGCCCTAGGACGCTCTGGTGTAGTGGCGCACGTAGGTGCACCGATCCCAGAGCGCCCTCATAAGGGCCGAGGAGGGTACCGGTGGTTTTTAGTGGGTAGAACCGGCGTTGTTCCACGCCGGGGAGTCCCACACACGTCGCGCGCCTGGCAAGCGCGCGGTATGGTGCGTAAATGCATTTTCCACCGTCAACAAAAAAAAAAAAAAAAAAAGGGTAACGGATAGATATAACGAATAGATAGAATATACATATATTCTATCCGTTACCCTTTGATACCCTCTTATATAAATATACTTATATATTTTACTTATATAAGTATATTTATAGAAATACATATCAAACATCCATGACTGGAGTACAAATGCTCGTATTCATCACACAAACATCTGCCCCCACCGGGATTCGAACCCGGGACCTCTCGAGTCGGCAACACCATGAAACCCGGCGTATAAACCACTCGGCCACGGAGGTCGTCGTATACCCTAAAGTTTGAAATAGATCTGTAGAAATATATATTTTTTGATAACCTTCTTTGCCATTATCAGAGATTAATTAATCAAAAACTAATGGTCGAAGTATGATGTTTGAAATGTGTAATTAATAAAGTTCGCTTTTTGAACTACACCAGCCGATAATGTTGACTGTACTATTAGAGATTTTAATAATTTTCAATGTTTGCTTCCAGGGTCGTGCCTGAGTTACGGACACTCGTGTTGGGGTGGTGAGTAACATTTTGATAGATCTAACCTAATTAATACCAAAATTTTACTTTAACTATAGAGAATATGCATCATTATTTTTATTTCATATTTTTTCTACATTGGCTTTATATAATATAAAAATATTGAACGTAGTAAAAATTGTGTAATGTTTCCTAACAAAAACTCTTAGTCCCGTATTATAGAAAGATTCTCAGTAATTAATCTAGTCTTGAGCATAGTTAGAAAGGGATGTCGCTATATATAGCACATAGCGACATCCCTTTCTGATTGTACTCAAGTAAGGATCAACACTTATTTGTCATTCTGTAATACGGGCCTTAGTGTGACGTCACAGTCCATAGCGACCTAGCAAAAAACAAACAAGTCTACTAGATTAGGACTCGTACTAGGTCTCATTCACTTTGACATATCCTGTGAACATAGCGCTTGTTTGCTGATTTGTTATTATGTATTTTTACGTCACAACCGCTCTGTCGCGTTTTAGATATTTGAATTACCCACAAGTCTTTCGCACTTTTCAATACTTAATTTGTTGCTCAAAAAGAGATTTCAAAAGTAATAGGAGTTTATATGTAAAAAATGAGCCTTATTTGAATTACATGCATATTAAATAAAACTAGCTTTTACGGGTTAATGTACTAAAGGACATTGTTCTGCGACCATACATAATTAGCCTAAGAACCAACAATCATGAAATATTATTTTCTAGGTTCGAAATCGCAAGTAAATGACTGTAAAAACAAAGTTTATTGACGGACACTTCTGAGAACTTAAATTATTAGGAAAACTAAATTTTTTTTGAGGTTATGTTTAGTCAAACATAGGTCAACATATGAACTTAGTATGAACTCAGTATGAAGTGAATTAATATTACAACTAATTCATTTTATTCGGTGCGATTTTAAAGAATAACTATTTTTTTTATATTAGGAAAAACTTGGTTAGGTATGAATCATGTATAAAATAAAAACTGTAGTTTTGCTTCTTATTAACTGACTATTTTTCACATACTTAATTGTATCATATTGTATTTATTTGTTTAACACATGTATAATGTGTAAATATGCAGCGTGAATGTGTATCAGGTGCTCTTGAATAATTTGGCAGTATGATCCTCTCAGGATGTTGTGGCACAGGTTCACTAGCACTTGGTATTAAGGTCTCTGCTCTTTCGATGGCATATTAAATAGCCGAAATAGTTAAATTAAAGGAAAAACAATCGCAAATAAACACACAAAAAGGGTAATCCGAAACAAGAATGCACTTGCCGGTATATTAAACTACTCTTTGGAATGCACGAATGCCACAGATTACTACGAATGCAAACTGCCTGCACCACAACCACAGAGTGTCGAGTTTTATCCTTACGGCCCTTTACTTGACAACAGTTTGTCCTTGTCATGCTTAATAAGGAATGAAAAGGACAGACTGATGTCATGTTTTAAAATAGCAAATACGAATAGCCAAGTGAAGTGCCGGCATTAGGAAGAAAGAGTGTTTTGTTTGCAGCGCTGTCATAGATTATACACATAAAATGGTATTTATTGTCTCAGATTATTGTTCAACTTTTTAATTTAGCTTACTTAAGTGGAAGTGTCCGTCACAAACTAAATACTGATAATTATCGCAAAAAATATACTAAGAATTATCATAAATGCCAAATTGGTGTTGGTTCTTAGGCCAATTTTAACATTGTCCTTTATTTATTTATTGACGTTTCGCAGCCTTTTCAGGTCTGCATCGTCAGAATAATGATTAAAAAAAACTGACTATGCAGACCTGAAGAGGCTGCGGATAGCGGAAGGAACCCATTAGGCCTCACTCTCTTAGGAGTGAGGCCAAACTCCCGTTTGAATTATTTTTATTTAAAAGAAAAAGTCTTTCGTCAGTTGGCCAGTATTATTTTATTTAACGTAAAGTATTAATTGGGTATATTGAAGAAGAATTCTTTTTTAACAAAATTAAGGTCTGCTTTATTGGCAAATGTTAGCCCTATATATAATATCTACTATCATTAACCTTCTCCATAAGACCTTAATAACACAAACTCAAAAAACAGTGGTTACATATTTTCTATACATATATACGCCGTCATACCTATTTGAAATCTCCGTCCTCCGATTTAAATTTCACAAAGTGTTAGGTATTATTAATAAGACACATTAGATTGGTGCGACACGTAACTTCGTAACGTGATTTGTATTAATAGAACAACAGATGGGACTCATTATCCTAATCTGCCATTTAAATACGACATTTTATCGGTTTTGCTGAGAGCAAATAGAATAAGGTTAATTCGATTCCATTCCGTGCCTTGGTCAGGTGGCATGATATCAAATAAATAAATACTAAATTGGATAATTTTGAAATTATGGATATGCGCGGCGATATCCGATCTATTTACATTAGATCGGATTTCGCCGCCCAGAGGAAACTAGAGAGAAAACTAGTAGGGATTGCACTACGAGATCGCAAGACTAACACCTGGCTTAGAAAGCAAAGTGGGGTCACTGATGCCGTTAAACACATAGCGAGTTTGAAGTGGCAGTGGGCGGGACATATAGCCCGAAAGCATGGCTCGTGGGGTAAGGCGGTCTTGGAATGGAGACCTTGGAGCGAGAAACGACCTAGAGGTCTTCCTCCACAGACCACAGATGCGTTGGAAGTATGACGTCAGGAAAACTGCAGGGACGAATTGGATGGAAGTGGCGCAAGATCGAACTAGATGGCGTAATTTGAAGGAGGCCTGCACCAGACTGGTTGAGAACAGCTGAAGAAGAAGATGCGATTTAAAATAAGTAGTTGAGGCACCTGTTTCATGAAAATCAGTAGCATCAGATCAAGCGCTTATCGCACAACAGTCCCCATAGCATGAGCACCACAATTTATATTATATCATGTTTTTTATCACATCTAACTGTCAAACTTCATAGTAATTTGACAACTGAGCGTCATAAAAACGCGATATATATCATTTCGCGGTGCTGCGGCACAATGCTTTCCACGGCAGGGATGGGCAAAATGTTTCCGTATCGTGCCAATAATTACTATTAGAATCAAGTGCGATCTAAGTTTTTGCTCAGGTCACTTAAGTGACTGAGTTTTGTAAAAATCCTTTCGCTCAGTGGTTTGAGCTGTGCGTTGATAGATCAATCAGTATCGATTGCCCTTTATTATATACACTATGATTTGGAGTTTGATTTTAATGATCTCCAAAGCGTCGTGCTTAACGTTTTCGGTCTGCGATTGTGGGTACTAATCAACCTTAATAACCTTCATTATTGATGTTGGCCAAAAGTTACCTACCTTAATAACCGTCGCCATTGCTGTTGGCCAAAAGTTACCTACCTCAATAACCGTCGCTATTGCTGTTGGCCAAAAGTTATTATCTTGATTTCCTTCGTCCATAAAAAATACATTAAACTGTAGGTCCCGAATGTATCTGGCATTAAAGCTCATCAACCTGGTCTCTCATGAAATGGTGTCTATTCTCGACATAAAGAGGAACTTTGATAAACCCTTCTGTTCAAATATATTTTTACCAGCCAAAAGCATCCTACCAGTATTATAAATATAAAAATTTGTTTGTGTGTTTTTATGTTTTATACTCAAACACGCAAAAACGGCTGAAAGGTTTTGCATGAAATTCGGATTTTAATGGCATCATTTTATTAGCAGGATTGAGACATAGATATTCGTTAAAAATTTGAATAGAGTCTGTGCGGAAAGAGGGCGTGGCGAATAACTGAACTAACATTAAGATTTTTATAAAGCAATTTAACCCAGCCACCTGTCAAACGTCAAAGTTTTGTATTGATACGGATTTGTTTGTTTTTGTGATTTCTTGCGGTTCTTTGTATTTAATCATGTCTGAAAAGGGGTAAAACCTTACAAATACGGTAGAAAAGCACTATAGCGCCCTCAAATCTAAATCCCATTCTCTTTCCGCACAGACTCTATCTGGGAGAATAAAAGAAACTAAACTTTTGCGAACGAAGTCGCAGAAGGCCGCTAACTCTTACTCTAAGAATCTAATTCGTGTGAAAAGTTGAAACTAGTTGTAAATTTGTAGCCAATCATCGAAAACACGTTGGTATTAAAACTTGGCGACAGTAAATAAAATTGTCTGGACGTAGCATCGACCCCATGTAGGCGATACATTCTCGTGTTATTGGCATTTGAGCCCATTATCGTTTATATTACTTCCATTTTAATCCGGGCTTATTGCTGCATCTAGATAATAGCGGACACTGTACTAGCTCATGGGAATTTTTTTAGACTGCCGCGTGATAGGTGTAGAGATATGGTACGTTATATTTATGTCAACAACATTTTATACAAACTGTTTGGTTGAAATTATTTTAGTGTATGTTTTATTAGTACCTGTTGCTTTGTCTTGTCAACCCTGATTAGAAAGAAAATTGAATTTATTTGTTTTTTCAGTCACACTAAAAATAAACTTTGTATGGAAACTTGAACAGCAGCGCCGCAAAATATGTAACGAGCACTAAAAATCAGTACACATTTGACAATGACATTTCGGACTCGCCATCTTTACGAATTCGATATTAGTTCGTACTAAGGGTACTGGAGTAAGAAGGAAAAATAAATCGTCACGTTTTCATGTTTAACGTCAAAAGGTTATATTAATTTATTTATATTTACATAAAAATATTTAAAAATTACAAAAGCTTAAAACTACTCAAAGTCTTTAAAAACTAGAAATAACTAAGTACTTAAATAATGTACAATTTACAAAATAAATTGTCAAATTACGTCAAAAGTAAATAGGGCTAATTATGAAATAGCAAAATTTCAGGTCTGTAACTCATTCCGTTTGCGATCTAGAAACTCGTGACATAAGGAAAGATAGACAGAGAGACAATATGACAGAGTAACTGCAATGGGGTTCTGTCAATTACCCTTTGGGTACGGAACCCTAAAAAAATTAAAAGGGGTTAGATTTTTTGTTTCGGCCATTAAATTAAGTAAATTTGTATCTAAAGATATTTCTGTAGAAATTATTTTACTCGGCACAGGTTTCAAGCTGGGATGTAATATACTCATGGTACTTTACTAACTATCCGGCCCCACATCTAAGCGTCGCCGCACACGGGCCACCGACCACAACCACAAAACGCCGCCACCGGCATATTTCTTGTAGTTTTCATACATTTTATATGGACCCGCCACACACGGTACGCCGGTGGCCGCCACACTCTACAAATCGTCGTTGCTCGCTTCTTGTGTCCCTCACCGGCCACTTAATGCGCCGATACAAAACGCCACCACACGTCACTCGCGCGATTCCCCACCCCTCTCTCGCTTACCTTAGTCGGCCGCTGTCGCGCGCTTCAGCCACTTTAGTAGCCGCTTCTAGCTTCTCGTGGCGGCGTTAGTGGCTGTGGCGTGTGGCCCGTGTGCGGCGAAACTAAAAGTGGATATCCGCTTGATAACCTTTTTACTCCTGGGTATATTTGGTATATAAAACCTAAAATGACATATTAACATAAATAATGTTGTGTTATCAATGTCTGTTGATATAGTTCCGTGATATACAATCATATTATGAGAAACCTCAGATTATGTCGCAACATGGTAACATAATCATAGGAGTACCTATCGTTACGTAGTATGTAGATATATTTTTTAAGCCTTGCTCTGCTTACTTTGGGGCTAGGCTTATTAGTATGAGTATATATAGTAAATATTTATTTAAAATGAAACAGTGAATTGGCCGAAATTGTCGATCAAATGTTTGTAGACCTTGTTTCTGAGCGTTTTATTAAATCTGGATAAAACGTAAAAAAATAATTAAGGATTATATATTTGTAAAGGTAACGAATCAAATATTTGTCTACTGGGTAGATAATAATAATATCTGGGTAATATATCGACATTAGTGGACTGAAGTTAGGTTAAGAAATTTATTCTTCGTCAGCCTAATAAGGTCCCTGCTGGGGCACATACCTTCCCTATGGATGGAATAGGGGGATTGGGCCATGACCTACCCCGCGGGCCTAGTGCGGATTGGTGGGTGCTAAAGACTGCAGATGCAGCCGGGACCAACGGGTTTACGTGCCTTCCAAAGCACGCAGAAGCTCGTGATAGTAAATTTTTGGTCATCCATCCAATGACCGACCACTGCGAAAATAGCTAAACTTCAACAATCGCAGCCGGAACCGATAAATAGCGATGCGTGACTACGAATGATTTTACCTTTCGGCTAACTCGTAACTACTAATCTGGCTAATCAAAAGGCAAATTTGTAGTATACTAATGTCATTATTCGAATAGCGACTACTTATAAGTAATACTAATGTCAAATTTACAAGAGCACAACGAATAAGGTTAAGTTATAATTTTTATTATTTTTAAAGCATGTAACTGCTTAATTGCGGGTTCGAGTCCCGTCTGCTGCCTGGTCCGCGTGGAATTTTTTCTAGTTATATTTTCTTTAGATTTAAGGTTAAGTTGTTCATTCGTTTGTTCATCATTTGCCTTAGTTCGGTTAGTTTCCGTACGTTCGTATTTGGCGCCTGCCACGATAGTCTTATCTGTTATTAATTATTATTTGTGCAGTGACAACTATATTAACAAGTGAATTTGTTTATTAATGCTTGATTTGATTGTGACAGAATACCTATTTACCCGCTAAATTGACAGAACAACAGAATCTCAACATATTTGGTTGTGAATGTGGTTCGTTCGTTTTCGTCACGTACATCAGTCGAGAGTCGGTTAGTCGACCGACATTAGTAAATTAGTAAGGTATTCTGTGACGACTTCGACTCCAGTCGAATATAAAGCGCAGTCGACTTAGTCGAATGATTAGTATAAGTATTATTCAAAGTCGCGCATCGCTAGCGCTAACCATTTGCGTCATTGAGCCCTTCAGAAATATATCGTTAATCCAAAATTTAGAGATTTGACCTAAGCAACATACGGATTCCTACGCACGCCGCGCGTCGGAAATATTAATTTCACATCACTACACAAACATAATGCATGCCTACAAAATGACTACAAGGCAGTCACGACGTGTTCATTATTTTTAGTCAAAACGTATGACGGCGGTGACAAGCTAATCCTCGCCGAGCTGAGTTTGAGATTGTGTAGAATGTGGCCTTTAAACACCTTTATTAATTAACGTGACTCCTGGCTTATATCGATATGAAATTAAGTTATATACGTGGGTTATATGGGTTAACTATTCTGATATTCCTGTATTTCTGGGGAAGAGTATAGTTTTGGCATCCTTGTTGTCTGAGTCATCCTATCGCGAAAACTTTATCGAAATGCCTTCGCTTTTTTCTCTAAGGTTTATAGCCGCAACTCGTCAACGTTATCCTAATTTGATATTCGCCTAGTACATTAAAATCTTGTCCAAGTTACCTAATAACTTCCAGATCATTTATAACAATTAATATATTAATTGTGAGCGCTTGCGTACACTGGAGAGAGATTTAGCGTACCTACCTACTTCGAAATTGGTTTAGCGTGTTATTGGTAGAATATAAATTTTAATTATTTTTTATGAAGGTTGTGTATATTTGAGTTTAGCGAAAACATATTTTTAATTTGGTATATTAATTTGATTATATCAGTACAGGAAAATAAACGTAGAAAATGGAATTAATGAAAAGTAAGACCCCCGTTTCTCGTCATATTCTTTTCTTAAAAGATAGAATTAGTGTGAATAATTATAATTTCAAAACAATTACCTACATTGCAGAAAATGATATACATTACAGTTGATAAAAAACTTTACAAACAAGATAGTCGAGTTTGCCTGAAATAGGTTACTAATAAAAGAAGCAAAACAAAAGAATATGACAAATTCCTAAAAAAAAACGAGTGATTATGACATGTAGACAGTGCGTGCGCACATTTTCTTTCTCTCTTACTCTTATAGCTAGTAAATGAAATATGTATGTATACATACATGTATATATTGTACACATATATTTATATATATCATCATCATCATCAGCCTATAAATGTCCCCACTGCTGGGGCACAGGCCTTCCCTATGGATGGAATAGGGAGATTGGGCCATGACCCAACACGCGGGCCCAGTGCGGATTGGCGGGTGCTAACGACTGCAGATGCAGCCGGGACCAACGGCTTAACGTGCCTTCCGAAGCACGGAGGAGCTCGAGATAGTAAATTTTTGGTCACCCATCCAATGACCGACCACTGCGAAAGTATATATATAAATATATTATATATATATATATATATATATATATATATATATATATATATATATATATATATATCATACAAATAGATGGAGCTAAAGAAGTTTCACTTCAGTCGTGTGGTCATAAACACACTCGTTTTTTTTTTGCTTTAGGCACTAGTAAATCTAATTTGTTATTATTAATAAAAATAATTTAAGTATTCAAAATATTAAAAATCAACCAAATGTTCATAAAATTACATGTTAGGACTTTTTGATGAGTATATTTTATATTTATATTTCAGCCCATGGTAAAAGATCCGGGCGGCCACCCATCACTGCAACGGACTGGTACCTCAACAGGATGTTACGACGTATCGCTTCCAGCTCTGAACTGGTAAGTATTGCAAAGCATGTAATTCACTGCCTACCAAATACAATTGTTTTTATATAGATTTTCTTAATTGACATGATTTGAAAAAAAAAAGATTATTTGACTTGAAAAAAACCTGCCTTTGTGTAAGTATTTTTTGGTAATCGGAGTCCTCTCTCTCTCTCTCTCTAAGCAGAAAAAGAAATGTTATATATTTATTTTATCTAATTCCACATAAATAGAATTTCGTGTCTAATGTTCTCACTGTCTTAAATATGTCTCTCTCCCAATTTCAAAATTATAAATACTTACAGCGCCATCTATATGAAGTCACTGAAAATTTTCAGGATAACGCAAGCCAGCTGCGAACAAAGAACGACGACCTCAGCGCCATCTATCAGGTGGAGACACCAGACAATTCACTGGCGGCCAACGGAAAACTCATGTAAGCTTTTCACTTTTCTGTTACACGAAAATTAGTATAGATGGCGTGACTTGTAATAAACTCATATACATTTCATAAAAAGGACAAGAGGATAAATTTATGTAGGATTTAGGACTAATTAGATAAATTCATAATGACATTGTCGTTTATACATATTTTTTTTATGAAATTATACGTAAATTATTTCTTTTCAGATCTGAAAATGAAGACATCCCCATGGAAATGCCGTCTAGGACAATGGAAGCTAAACCGATGTTGGATGATGAGTTACTTTCAAAAGTAAAGCTTTGGCAAATCATGGTAAGTTAATGCAATACAAAAATGATTTATAAACTATTAGTAAACTATTCCTCTACAAATTTTTATCGAAATCTTTAAGATTTTCAGATCGACTGAAACCCCATTTCCTTATGCGTAGATCATTTTGTGGTGGCCTCATGCACTTTTGTTTTACTCATAGATATACATATTTTAATGATTGATGAAGAAAATTTGTTTCTAATTTTATCACACACCCCACTCATTAAATAAAACATTATCTAACTCGACATTTCAAGACGTATCCTGAAACGGATGCGAAATGACAAACTTTGTTAAAAAAGGTTTTTTTTAATGATTGATAAGGTCTTTTTTGGAAAATCAAAAAACTAGTTTATATCTCGTAAAACGAAAAGAGATTTTTCTACTTTAACTAATGCTTTAGCATTGAATTAATTCGTAACATTTTGCTAATAAGACATTTCATTTTATAAGAGAATTTAAGAGCAAGAAATGCAGGATCAATTTTACTGTTATCAAATATACGGTCTGGAGGACGGTGTCGGAAACCAAAACGGAAACTTACCGAATACGGCATACTCGACTCCGTTTATTTACACTTAGTCGTTTACCCGTATTCCATTGGCACTCTTATTCGGGCTAGCGACCAAATGTAATCGCGCCATTATACAAAGAAGCAGTTGTAATTATTTTGCGAAGTCCTCTTTTGTACTTAGATGGTTAGAGAAAATAGTTGATAACGTAGAACAAATAATGTTACACACAACCTAGTTTTTTTTTCCTTGTTTCAGAGAGAAGCCTCCGTTGACAACTAATTAAATAATATCCATAAATTAATAACAAATTGACTGATGTTACGTTTTGAAAACAATTCTTTGTTGGTTAATAAATATTTTTTCAACTTATTTCTTTTGTGTGAAATGTAATACCTTAATGAAAACTTATTAATTTATATTAATTATATATAATATAAATATCTATTGTATTATTACAATGTGATTATATAATAAGTGTCAATTGTAAGGCTGGGTTGCAATTGGCCATTTAGCTTGTAAAGTTATAGGATAAAATGTGCCACTTCTTAAGTATTATGTTTTATAATAAAAAAAAATATATTAAAATCTTTTGTGCGTGTCGATTAGTTTTTATCACCTAAGTGTGATATTTACATAAAGTGTAGAAATGTCGTAGTATTTATAACTTCTGAATATACATTCGATTTCTGTTAATTTTGAACTATTTTTATATGTAAGTTTTATTAGTGAGAACTATTATTACTTGTTTATTTTGTTATAATTTCGTTTGTTATTTTTACATCAATTTATTAAATAATATAAAAAAAACATAAATGAAAATGTACGTCTGAAATAGAATCGCAACTGTTCTTAATAATTGTTAAAATGAATGTGTTATATATATTGTACAAGAAAAAAATTGAGCCTGCAAAATATGAGGCAGATACATTTTTGTGTATTAATTCAGTTTCTCACCTTCCCTAGTGTACGTTATATAATTAATTATAGTTCTTGTAAGTACTGGGATGATAAAAAATATAAATGATTGTTATCATAAATCATCAACACTAGTCCATAATGTCCTCACTGCTGAGACACGGACTTTTCTATGTTTTTTTTAGTGTGTATGCTGTTGGTCGCATATTACCTTTACAGCGTCACCGAGTTTGGGGACGGTGAGCAAGCCGAGAAACGGCGAGTGAGTTAAGTTACTACAACTGGTTAAAATAAAAAATATATTTATTTGGACAGAGTAACAGTCTAGACTTAGCTAATACAATATTCAATTAATAATTAGTTACATTCGATTATATACTAAATTAAGTGTTTACGTTGCATCTTCGTATTTGACGTTGGACCTAGATATTGGCCTGGCGTTGCTGGTTCGTAGTGCTGACGAAGCTGAGTTGGATAGGTGTGCCGTCCTTAACTCCTCCCTCCCCAAGAGAGAAATTATCCGAAAGTGCCGCTGGTGGTTTCGGAGAATTTCGTTTGCTGCAGTTGTTCCTCAATTTGAAGACGAGAAATGCTACAAATAAGATGATTATTGCAGTGTATAGTAAAAGGGTCCACAAGCTAACTTTATTTGTTACTATGAACATTTCACTGTTTGAGACTAATTCACTGTCACTATTTTTTGCACTACTTAGAATGTCTTTGATGTCGGTGAAGTCCACGTTCCTCAGGTCTAGTTGTTTGGCTTCTTTTCTGATGTCTCGCTGAAGTTCTGGTACTTGTACTAGTGTTGATTGTATACTGATGTTTGATGCGTTTGTGGGTTTGCTTATATAGACGTCTGCTACTTGTACGTCGCAATCGTTACTAGGTGTAAACAAATATGTTCCTTTGACGTTGTACTTGTGAGTCTCATCTCGGCAGTGTTCCGTAATTATTTGGGTGTTTTTTGAGAATATCATCCATTTATTACCATATATCTTCTGAATTTTCAACTCTTCAATTTGTATGGCATATTGGCGGCATTCGCTGTAGTTGTTTTTTATTAGCATAATTTGTTCGATGCATGTTTCATTTCTGTACTGGGGCATGTTGTCATCTGAGCACAGAAACTTGTTATCTTCTAACTCCTCACATGGATTCATTACGGGCCTGTATTTCGATCTATTCACCAAGAGGTAAGGAAATCTAGGGATTATAGTGTGGGTTTCTTGGGCTTTGATCACGGGAATAGGGATAATTTTGTAATAAATATATGTTTCAGTAGTTATTAAAGGGACTTCTAATACGAAAACTAACCTATTTTTATTCATAAACGACTTGAGCACTATAGTACGTTCTATCTTTATTAAGTTATCTAAGCTGACTGGATAAATAGTCATTGCATGTTGTTCTACTATTTTTAATATTTTGTATAATTCGGTTGTATTTAAAATGGACTGATGTAATACTTGTAACTTACTGAAGGCGATAGCTGTTTCGATTTCTTGGATGCTTTCGTAAATGCTGCGAAAGTTAAAAAGAATTAGTTGAATTTTGTTTGTAACGTGAATTATATCCTTAAAAGTTATCTCATCGTTAAGAAGTGTTTTAATTTCTTTTGTTTTTGAATCTAAACTTTTAATGTTAAAGTTCATATTTTCAGATACATTTACAAATTTATCGAGGGCGTTTTGTATGTATGATATTTTATGTTCTGTAATATGTTCCTTATTTTCTAAATCATTTAATTGTTTGTTGTACCTAATAGCGTCTTCTTCGTCTAAGTTCCCTGAGATGGCTTTAACGAAAGACCCTAGGGGTGAAAATAAAGCTCGCTTTGTTCTCGTACTATAAGGTAAGATTTGTCTTATTCTACTAACTAAAACTTTAGAAAAACTCTCTGTCTGATTAACTAACATACCTAATTCTTTATCTATCTTATTTTTCATAATTATATCTTTTATCCTAGAAAAAAGTGCTATATTATTTTTTATCTCTAATTCTATCGATTCTAAGTCTAATGCCTTAAAGATAGTCCAATAACTACTCTTCACTACTGCTGTCCCAATCTTCATCGGCGCTACTCCCGGATTCTGACCGAGGTTTTGAAGTTCCAGGCTGCTCATTGGAGCTGCTAGGACCAGCAGAATCATACAGGACCTGTGGAGGGCGTTTCACATTTTTCATTGCTACTTTAGTTTTTCTGTTGTTTACTTCTACTGGGATTACATTATGCTTGGTTTCTCCAATAACTTTGGCTTTATCGTATCGGGGTAAATGTTTTGGTTTCCTTGTTCTAGTATTTTTCATAAAAATTTCGTCTCCCTTCTTTATCGATGGTGGTAGCTCTCCACCTTTTTTTTCCCTAACATTTACTTTGTCCTTTTCTATCTTTTCTGCTATATATTCGTATAAGACTTTAAGGCGTTTTCTATGATCTAATAGTAATTTTTGTATTAAGTTTTTATCTCTATCTATATTGAAAACGTTCCCAGCATCTGTGTGTCCTAAAACTATTTCAAATGGCGTGTAGTTAGTAGCAGAATGAATTGTGTTGTTATATGCCATAATTGCGTATGTCATGACTGAAGTAGCGTCTAGTTCGCTTTTGTCGTATTTAGCAAGGCGATAGATTTCATTGATTGTGGAATGAAATCTTTCTACTATAGCCATAGAATTGGGATTATTTGGGGTTCCTACGTGCATTTCTATTTTATACAACCCTAGTAATTCTTTTATTAAGTCATTATTAAACTCGGCTCCTGAATCGCTACTAATTTTTCCTGGTAACCCGTACATACTAAAGTATTTTATTAGAGCCCTGACTACTTCGGGGGTACTGCGATTTGGAATATGTATGGCCTGGCCTAACTTGCTGAAGGCATCTACTACAGTAAGGTAATATTTTCCCTCGATGAATAATAAATCTATGAATGTTTCCTCGAATGGCAAAGTTTGACTTTGTGTTAATTGGATCTGTGGTTTAATGGGTTTTCTATCATACTTCATTTTTTGACATTGTTGACAAGCATTTACTATTGCGGTTACCGTTTCTTTCATATTGGGCCAGAAATAGTGTCTTTTAATTTTTGATAATGTTTCTCTTATGCCACGATGACAGGTTTTGCCTTCGTGATATTTAATTATTACATCTCTTTGATCAGACTCTGCACCTGTTAAATTTACGGAACGTTCAGTACACTCAGTTAACGTGATAGAATTTCTTTTAAATAGGCTAGTAATAATGTTTGAAAAAGATTTCCTAAATGCCTTATGTTCAAAATAAATATAGTACTTAAAATTCTTTCACCAGTTTATCATTATTTAAAGGCAAGTGAACTTCTAGGATACGTTGTTTGTCATTGGATAAATCCTTAACCGAAAGATTGTTCTTATACCATATGTGAACTAGTATCTGTTTTGGTTTAGAATCAATTGCTTCGTTAAGGATGGGAATACCTTCATGTTCCCTATTCGAAACTGAATTCGCCGTTATGTCGTCATCCGAAATTTCTATTAGTTCGGGCTCATTTTCTACTTCAGAGTCTGATAATTCTATAGTTTCTATTTTTGGACTCCTATTGTTCCCTATTTCATCATTAATTTCCTCTACGATTTCTTGTATCCGTTCGTCATTCTCGTCAATGTTAACTAGAATAGAATCTAAATCCTCATCTATTGTGTTTATTTTGATGCGAGATAGAGCATCAGCATTAGTATTTTGTGGCCCTTTTTTATAGCGTATTTCAAAGTCATATTCCTCTAACCTAAGACGCCAGCGAGTGAGTTTACTGTTGGGTTCGTTTAGAGAATAAAGCCATGCTAATGGCCTATGGTCGGTGTATATAATGAATTTATTACCGTAAAGGTATGGCCTGAAGTGTTTTGTGGCCCAAATGATAGCGAGCAATTCTTTTTCTATTGTACTGTATTTTACTTCTGTATCACTAAGTGTACGGCTAGCGTATGCTACAGGCTTATCTGATCCTATAGGCCCTTGTGATAAAACTGCTCCTATTGCGAAGTTTGATGCGTCTGTGGTTAGGACAAACGGTTTACTAAAGTCTGGGAACTGTAATAAGGGGGCGTTAGTCAAAAGCTTCTTACAAGTTTCGAAAGCATTCCTATATTCGTCATCTAGAATAATTTTACGACCTTTCTTTAAACAATGCGTAAATGGTTTCGTAATTTTAGCAAAATCTTTGATGAATTTTCTATAATACCCTATTAGTCCAAGGAAGCTTTTTATTTGTGTTGTTGTTTCTGGTATTGGGTATTTTAAAATAGCATCAATTTTGTCGTTATTTGGCTTTAACCCTTCACTAGTGATGGTATGTCCTAGGTATAATACTTCTTTTCTAAGG